GGGGGAGGGGGGGTTGCTGTCTAATAGGCTCACAGTTTCAGTTTTGCAGGAGGAGACAGTTGTGGAGGTGTGTTGTACAACACTGTGAATATACTTATCTCTACTGAACTGTACACATAAAAATGGTTAAGGTGGTAAATTTTGTTATTTTTGTATCACAATAAAAAATAAAATTATTTTTTAGGTGATATGACTTGTAAGCTTTCCTCATCATGCAGGATCATCATACTGATTAATGACAGACTATGCTACAGATAAATCTATGCAGAGACGACTCCATATCAAGCCTCAGGAGTTACTCTAGAGTCTGCTTTCTTAAATAAGTATCTGGGATTTGTTAGGATTTAGCTGCTAAAGGAAAAAGTGAAACTCGACATCTTTCGGTATATAACATGTGGTATTACCGTCAGAGAATTTCAAGATGTGAAAGCTGGAAAAAACTTTCAAAATTACATTTTAAAGGTGAAGAAGTGAAATCTAGGGTGTAATCATACTAAATGATTCACCTAAGGTCGTACAGGTAACAATTATGAACAGAGCCGGAAAGATAACATCTCCTGATTCCCCCTACAATCCTCTTGTACAACTAGGACTCGGCTCTCCAGAATGCCTCACCTCCGAACAGCACTGTTTAATACGTTGCCACCAGGGGGCAGCACGTGTATTAGTCTGGTATTCTGAAACCCCAACTTAAGGCCCCAATACACGTCTATTGCCCCTTCCTCCACTCCCCCAGTACATACGCGCATTTATAGCACTTTACTAATACCAACAGGAATAAAGTTTAAACAACATCTATAATAAGTTTTTAAACAAAACAAAGACTTAGGTCCAATGAAGGTTAACAACCTTCCTATTCCTTCACTATTTTTAATTTATTCCAATCCCAATTAACGTAAGGGTCAATTACTGTAAATTTTAAACCAAAAATGAATTAGCCACGGAAACCCTCCCATTCTTTACATTTTGAACCAAATTTTCCTAACACTTGGCCTCTTAGGCTTCGTACCACAACAACATCAAGCCCATCGGCAACTTGTCCTCCATCTTCCTTTGTCAGGCTTAGTTTTTCTTTCTAACGCCCCTGTGTTACAGAGGAAGCTCTGTCAATAGGCCTAACTCTTCAGCAACTTTTCAGAAGTCGAAGAGAGATTCTAGATGACGGTAATTTCCACTCTGTTTTTAAATGATACTACCAACTGGAAGCTCAAACCATAGCAGCTGATGGGTGAGACGTGACAGGGCCGTCCCTCAGCAACGACCCTGTCCACCCTGAGACTTCCACAGTTTCATCTAATTCGAGAAGGGAGGGACAACAACATTAGCAATGACATTTAGGTAATTAATCCTGTAGGCAACTCCACACTTTCAGGCAATAGCGACCAGTGAGACCATCCAAAGAGAGGACCATGATCTTTATTTCACAAACAAATTTCAAATGGTTTTCTTCCTTGAGCTCTCTGCTTATATCCAGCTGCTCTCATGTAATTTACTATTCACAGATCAATCTTTTTCTTTTTTTAATAAAGTTGCTGTTGTTGTTGTTTTTAGAGGCAGGGGTGGGGGGAGAGTAGGGGCAGAGGGGGAGAGAGAGAGAGAATCTTAAGCAGGCTCCACGCCCAGCACAAAGCTCAACGTGGGGCTCCATCTCACCACCCTGAGATCATGACTTGAGATGAAATCAAGAATCAGCTTAACTGGCTGAGCCACCCAGGAGCCCCCCGTCCCTGATCAATCTAACCTAACAGAAAACTGGCAAAAGCAGTTATGGCACTATTGGTTACCAATGATAAAACAGAAATGAGACATGCACAAGATGCATATAATGAATGGATCACTGCAAAATGTATTCAGATACTATTCTGTAATCCTCTGCCAAATATGATGTGTCAACTGGTGAGACTTAAAGTCTCCTCTCTAAATAACATTCTGGTTTTAATTTAATATTTTCCATATAGAATATTTACCATATTTAAATATGGAATATCACCAGAAAACCAGAAATAGTTATTTTTATAACAGGTATATAAAGCAAATTTAATTCAGTAATTTATTCAAGAGTTATTAAAAATAACTTTTCATAATACTCAAAAAACTGAAATCAGATAATTAAAAAAAAAACACATCTATTAGGAGGGCTTAAATTAAAAAAACCTGACAATATCAAGTGCTAACAAAAATACGGAGCAACTGGAACTCTCATACATTGTTAGTTGAGATGCAAAATGATGGGATACAGGCACTCTGGAAAAGTTTGGCAGTTTCTCAAAAAGTTAAGCATACGCTTACCATATGACCCAGCCATTTTGCTCCTGGGAATCTGCTCTAAAAAGATGAAAAATTTCGATCACATAAAAACCTATATACCAATGTTTGTAACAGCTCTATCCATAATCCCCCCCAAACTGTAAAGGATCTGATGTTCTTCAACAGTACATGGATCCATAAACTGGGGTATGCCCATAAGATGGAATACACTCCTCAGCAATAAAAAAGAATACACACATGGAAGAATCTCAAAGATGTTGTTTGAGTGAAAGAAGCCAGTCTCAAAGGTTGCATACTATTTAATTTCATTTATGTGACATGTGAAAAGGCAAAACTTTATTCTAGATGGAGACAGATCCGGGTACCTAGGTGGCTCAGTTGGTTAGACATCTGACTACTGATTTCAGCTCAGATCACGGTCTCAGGGTCCTGGGATCAAGCCCCACGTTGGAATCCGCACTCAGTGTGGAATCTGCTTGGGATTCTCTCTCCTTCTCCCTCTGACCTGCCCCCCAACCTCATGCTCTCTCTCCGCCCCCCTCAAATAAATAAATAAGTAAATAAATAAACAAATATTTAAAAAAAAAAAAAAGATGGAGACCAGGTCAAGGGTTGTCAGCAATTAGGGGAAGGGTTTGACTTACAATGGGACAGAATGAGGGAGGGCTTGGTATTTTCTGGTTTTGTTTTCTGGCTTTTTTTGGTGGTGGAACTGTTCTGTAAAAGAACTGTGATGAGGGTTACATCAATCAATTTTAAAACTTGCAGAATTATACAAGAAAAAAGGCCAATTTTACTTTATATAAATTCTGGTAATAATGAAAGTATGAGAGTATGTAACTACTCTAAACAGTTAAAAATAAGAGGTAAAAGTAAAAATAAGAGAACTCTGAATTAAGCTAATGCCTGGCATACATCAATATTTATTCTTAAAAGAGACTTAGGAGATGTAAAAACCAAATATAATGAGTGGGCTTTGTTTTGACTCTGGTTTGAATAAACCAACTGCACAGACCTTTTTAGGCAAATGGGGATATTTGAATATAGTATTAGATGATATTAAGGATGTTTCATTCATTGTTAGGTAGGACTATAGTTACGTAAAAAACTAAACTTTAGAAAAATTCATACTAAAATATTTAGTAATAAAATGACATGGTTTCTAGCGTTTGCTTCAAAATTCTCCAGAAGCAAGCAAAAACAAAACAAAAACCCTCAAAAAAACAAAGGGAGAAGGGCAAATGGAACAGTGTGGCAAAGCCAGCCTGGTGCACGGATTTCTGATGCTGTGTGGGTTCATGAAGGTTTAAGGTTTACTGTACTCTCCTTTTGAGTACGTTCATAATAAATGCTGAGAGAGAAAAAAACAGTGACTTAATCTTCATAAATACTCCCCAAAATGCCCTAACTGTTCTTTATTCATATATAAGATACACTACAGTTGACCCTCGAACAACACTGGGGTTGGGGGCACCAATACCCTGCATTCGAAAAATCTGACTATAACGTCTGACTCCCCCAAAACTTAACTACTAAGAGCTTATTGGTGACCAGAAGCCCTAGTTGTAACATGTATGTCAAATAATGCATATTTTGTATGCTATATGTATCCTATACTCTATTTTTACAGTAAAGTAAGCTAGAGATGTTATTTAAAAAATCATGGGGAAGAAAAGTACATTTACAAATACTGTATTTATCAAAAAACAAAAGCTGCGTATAAGTGGGCTCACAAAGTTCAAACCTGTGTTGTTCAAGGGTCAATTGTGATTTCCCCTTATAGTTTTTACTAGGCTTTTATACTCTGTATTTAACTTCACAGAAAGCCAAGTTGAGGGAGAGAGTCCAGGCAGTTGTGATTCTTCTCACAATTAAGGGCTTCATGATGGTACAAGTAATGGCTTAAAGAATGCTTCTCAAATCTCATTTAATGCTCATAAATTAGTAGAATCACCATGAGTTGAAGAAATATTAATAATTTTCATTAACTAATCTGCTGCGTACTCCTAAGTGCAGGTGACAACATCAGGAAGAGGTAACTAACACTCACAAGTTTAAAGATAGATGCAGTAATATGAACACGTGGAGGAGAGGACAGCATAATAGGAGAAGTCTAATTTACTCTTTGTCACTCTAATTTATTCTGACTTAACTCAAAATATCAGAGTTCCAATAACACTCTCAACCAGCTGGAAATATCTTTCTTACTGGTGGCCTATTAAGTGGAAGATGCTATGTGGGAATCAAAATGAGGTTCTCATCTAATGCTAAATAGTTTAGCATGAATTTTGTTTGAAATAGTCCAGCAGCGTTGAAGACTAGTGTGCAAAAACAACTACACAGGCAAAAATAGCAGAGAAAAGTAAAAGGCCACAAGCCACAAGCAACAATGGCCCCACTGGGGTGCAGAGGCAGGAGTGACCCGTGGGGAGGATGGGGCAGAGGAGTGAGTCAAGGGTTCTGACTGCTGTTCAGTGGAGCTCATCTGTCTCCTTCACCCAGAAGCCTCTCTTCCCAGTGCTGAAGGAGAGTACCCAAGCGTCTAGAGTCACCGTGTCAGCAGGGACGAGCTGAGGCACCACACCCTGGGGATTATTAGCGCCTGGTAAGAACTCTCTGACGGTCCCAAATGTCTGGAGCGCTGCCCTGATCCTGCAGCAGCTACAGCAGCACAAGGTGAGGTGACTAAATGAAGGCCTCCCAAAGATCCCCGGAACCTGTGACCATGCTACCTTGCATAGCATAAGGGATGTGATTAATGTTAAGGGCCTTAAAATGCAGAAATCAGCTTGGATTATCCAAATGGGCCCGATCTAACCACATGAGGCCTCCAAAGTGCAGCAGCTTTCCTGGCTGGGGGCAGAGAGAGCTGTAACCATGGCAGAAGGGCAAGGGGACAAAATGCCATCTGTCAAGGTGGAGGGAGGGGGCCATGAACCAAGGAATGCCGGTGGCCTCTCCAAGTGGGAAAAGGCGAGAAAACAGATCCTCCCCCAGGGCCTCCGGAGGGGACACAGCCTCACTGACGCCCTGATTTCAGCCAGTGAGACCCGTGTTGACTTCTGCCCTAGAGAACCGTAAGACAAGTAAGTATGTGTGTTGTTTTAAGCCATGAAGTTGGAGCCACCTTGTTCCGGCAGCACCAGGCAGTCTTGCTCCTTGTCTCTGGGCCTCTGCATGTGCCTGCACCCCCTTCTCTCACCTCACCAAGCAAGCGTATTTTCATTGGAATTAAAAGACAAGATCTTCCACATCTCACATCTCTGCTCAAAGGTCTTTCCCCTGAAAAGTTCTCCCAAACCTACTTACCCAGGACAGGTCATGACCCCCCACTCCATACACTCACTCGGCACCTACACCTCTCCAGCTCAGTGCTTGCTTGACTGCAGCTATTCTCTCCTTCAGAGCTTACGTTTATTGAGCATTTACTAAGTACTAAGTACCTAAAGAAGGATTTTTCATGGGTTTTCTCATTCAATCCTCCCACAAGCCTATCAGGTAGACATAATTATTATCCCTTATTTTTTTTAATTAGAAAGGTCAAAATCACCCAGCTGGTAGGTGGCAGAGCCAGGATTTGAAGCCAGGTGGTCTGACAAAGGAGTTGTTGCCCTTAACCGAGCATTAACACCTGTCCCCCATGTGAGAAATCTAAGTTCCAAGATCCTGTGCATTTCTTAACACAACAGCCCCAGTGTTCAACGCAGAGAAGCTTCATAGTTGCTGAATATGAACAAATGGGACAAAGATGGTTTTTCCCCCTACTACTCTTTTTTTTTTTTTTAAAGATTTTATTTATTTATTCATGAGAGACAGAGAGAGAGACAGAGGCAGAGGGAGAAGCAGGCTCCCCGCGGAGCAGGGAGCCCGATGCGGGACTCGATCCCAGGACTCTGGGACCATGACCTGAGCCGAAGGCAGATGCTTAACCGACTGAGCCACCCAGGCGTCCCTATTCTTTTTTTTTTTTAAGAAAAACTTTTTTATTATGGAAAGTCAAATCTATACAGAAGTGATGATAGAATGATCCTCCGGGCGCCTGGGTGGCTCAGTTGGTTACGCGACTGCCTTCAGCTCAGGTCGTGATCCCAGGGTCCTGGGATCGAGTCCCACATTGGGCTCCCTGCTCTGCGGGAAGCCTGCTTCTCCCTCTCCCACTCCCCCTGCTTGTGTTCCCTCTCTCGCTGTGTCTCTCTCTGTCAAA